AAAATATTATATGGAAAACATTTAATATCAGTTAATATGTACATTAGATTAGAGCTTGTCCACATGTCTGTAAAACCAGTGGTGACATTTTGATTGGATTCGAGGGGATGAAGCGTTCCACTGGTGTGTCCTGATACCTTACCGCTGAATAGATCAGGGTGATTTTTCGGGTCAGCACGTGGTATTAAATGAATGGAATCATCATCAGCGACACGTTGACTGTTAGATGCTTTTATTTAAGCTGATGCACTTGTGTTTACCTTTGGAAGTGGAAGAAACACTTTGTAATAATGGTACTGGAAATGGTTGGAAAAGGATGTTTGTTTGGGTGAGGGCCAGGGGTTCTGTTTATAACTTATTAATAGTTCAAAAATGACCAAAAGTATTTATGAAATTGAGGCTTGATGTGCCAGCATGCACTCACAGGGCAACAGCGTAAAATGTTCCATTGCAGTTTGGCTGTGCACCTAATTGTCTCTTTGCAAAATTACAGGCAAGAGAAACCTGGATTTATTTTCTTTATTGCAGCTCAGCAGCCAACATGTTATTGCTCTGGTCTCAAGAGCTTTACGTGTTAAAACCATTACCGCGGTAACGCCAAGTGACACTTTGTACTGCTTTTACTGCCCCTTCTTCATTTTGACACACAAATTATAGTGTGGCTCCAAATGAAAGGCAACTCTGTGGCCTTACACTGACCTGCATCTTCATTTAAAAACATGGGATTAAATCATCTCACGATGGTGGTCATAATACTGCATGAGCTGATGCGAACTTGGCGATTTCCTTTAAGAGTTGACTGAAGACTGAAAGCATTTATTCTGTCTCAGTAGGATTTTTACCCTGAGGTTGTCTCAAGAAGTGGGACACCATCCCAGTGTGTAAGCCTCGCTTGCATGTGATTGCCCCTGAGCCACAAAACCTGAATACATGCATGTGCGTGTGCTCGCACAATCGCGCATACTGACCTAAGTCACATGGAAAGTCCCACTCAGGCTTGGCACGTAGAAGAGGAAGGATTTTCCAGTTTAATTATGCCTGAGGGTGTAATTTCACATTGACTTGTGGTTTGCTTGAAATTGGTCTTCTGTCTTGGTAAAAATTTCCCCTTGCTCCATGTCTTGGTTACTTCGCCTGGTGTATCATTACATTGTGTTATAATGTAGGACTGCAGGATTCAGGCATCACCTACACTTGTGCTTCCCATGTTGCGGTCACCTGCTGTATGATAACTTGCCTTCAGAGTCCCTAGTCTAATATATGGAAGATTTCCTGCTTTTGTTAGTCAGTGACACACTGTGCATGTGTCACCTTGCACAAAGCAACTTTTCATAGTTTAAATTTCTCTTATTTAAAGAAAGTTAAAAAAAAAGTAAAAAAAAATGGAGTCACCAGTTAAGGTGTATTCTTCTTTACAACTTTCTTTCTTTGGCTGCAATGCTACAGCCTAATGAGATGCAATTATGGTTGACACACTTTTCCTCCTTTATCTTTATGTGACAGTTAAATGCACATCTTAACCTAACATTAAAAATACTTATGAGGTAAAGTCAAGAAAAAATGTCTGCTGGAAACGTCTAGTCTTCTGCACACTGTCTGTTTGTTGTAATTTCTTCCTAGCAACCTGAAGTGCTGTACTTAAGAAATATAAAGTTTAATTATTGACCTCAACCAAGTGGTTAAAACAGAAAGAAATACTTGTATATTTTGTGTCATATGATGACAACAGTTGTTAACATTTAAGGCTGGACCAATTCAACATTTCTATTTCTAAAGGCTCCAGTGATTAATTTGTTGAGACCAGTTATTTTATACCAAATCTTGATGATTCCACACGGATTTCAGTGAAAAGATAAGATTGGAGCCCACCATTACACAAATATTGTTGTGTGGATTTTAGTGCTGAGAAAACTGTCGTTTGTGGGGGATTTCACACATCAGTACAGTATCTGATGTGCACGTAAACTGAAGGCTCCACAGGTCTAGAGACCAGTTGGCAACCACCAGTCATGAGTCAAAAGTTAGTATTGGTAAATTATTAGTAAGTAAATACTAAGTTAGTAAAGCCCCATTTATGTAGGCCTGGAGAGCAGTCTCAGCTGGGAAATATTCACCAAGCAATAGTGAAACTCTGAAGAGTGCATTGCAAACCAGTAAAGGCTACCGTTAAACTTTAAAGTAAAAGTTGCACTGTTTTTGATACATGTTGGTTTTAGTGGGAAGGCACAACTTTTACTTTGAAAGTAAACGTTTTGTCTCACTACCACACCTTGTTTAGCTTGTGGGTGTCTGCAGATAAGTTGACATCTTTCACGCAAACTGCAGGTGGCCATAGCAATGTGCGAGCAACCAAAGCAATAACCAGAGGCAGCACCCTCTTTGCAGCAAATTTCACCCAGCAAGCTCCAGGAACCACTACACATTTTTCCCTAATGACCGGAGGTTGCCAAAGAGTTGCCAGCCAGTCTCTTGATTGGTGTAATAAACTTGTACATCAGATAAACATATATAATTCTACTTATTAAACTAACAAATGGCAACAGACTTCAGATAAAAACAATGAAAAGTTAAATATTTAGTGGTGTTTATCTGTTATACTGCTGTCATTTACGGTCAAAGTTTCTCCTCTTCAACACACACGCATGCACACACGCACACACACGCACACACGTATGTAGAGCTGCCAAGAGATAAGTGAAATAAAATACTATTCATTGAGTTGATGGCAACACTTTATATTACAGTAATGCAGTAAAAGCTTCCCAACAACGGAAACATCAAAGTAACTTCCCCCTTGCTGTGTGTGTCAGAAGGAGCAGCTTATCATTAATATATATGAACGTTTATGCAGTAAGGGTTATCCTTATTTACATTACTCTTTATGTTAATGACACAACTGGGAATGTGCAAGGAGCATCTAACTGCAGGTGAAGGGCTGTGTAAATAAAACTGGCAGCTATTAACCATAATTAAAGTCTTTTATATTATAATAACATTTGCATTGTAGCCATTAGGTATGAGGGCATATGCTAATGGTAGGTACTTATCAGTTTTGTCCCAACAGTAATACAGATGCAGTCCTGCATCTGATTTAATACATTATGTGTTGTCGGATGTGCGTTTGCCAGTGTATCACATACATCTGTCATGTTCATACGTGCGTTTCAGGATATCTGTCTCTGAAGAGATGGGACTCTTATGCCGTGACACTGTCTGCAGACTACTGGCTGTATTTAGAGCTTGTAGATGTGCAAAAAGTCAGCCGAATTTAGTTAAAGTCAGCCGAATTTAGTTTCAGTCAGCATCAAAAGGCTACTGGGATGCATTTGAGTTTTGTTTTTTCTTTTTGAACCTGCCTGCTGCTAAACTGGGAGATAAAAATGGCAGTTTGGGATTAAGAGTCATTTGATCCAAGCAACTTTTTTTTGGATGTTTGCAGATTTTATTGGGTGTTGTCAGTCAGAGCTCAGTGTGAGCACCTGAAAGACCGCATTTCTGAATCTTATTGCATTTATAATCTTTTAATGGCCCTTTTAAAAGGCTTCAAGCTCGTGCCCAAACCACTAACCAGATTCACTGAAAGTGTTAAAATGTTACATTAATTTAGTTGAGTGTATGTTATTATTAGGTGCCGAATTGAATCTGGTTTCAGGCTCTGCAACTAAAGACCTTTTTCTTTTTAGCCTTCCCCAACATTAAAGTAGTTGACGCTGACTTCGGCCTGCATGCCGTGGTACTTAAAGGTGGAAAAACAGCAGCCAGTCAGACTGAGGTTTGTAGGTTACGAGAGTGCATATGGTTGCTTTGTCCCAGTTTAGATTTGCAACAGGCTTGTTAATTAGTCACCTTTTGGCTCCCGCTGGAATTTTCCTGAAATTAGTCCCTAATGGCAAACACAAGTTTGCAGCCTGCAGCAACTGGTAGAAATCCCTTTTGTCCTTTATATTGCTTTAGGGTTTTTAAAATACTTTGCAATTCATGATACAAACATGAGCACAGTTATATAGGACATGTCAAGTGAGGGCAAACTTGGAAAGCGTTGATTTCTGTGATTCTGTTTATTTGTTTATTTATTTATTTATTTATGTATTTTTTTTAAATACTGCGAGAAGATAAAGGTGTGGAAACAAAATTGTTTTTAGAAGAGCGTGCACATTTTGCTGAAAGCAAAACAATCATGGTAGATTTTGTGTTAGGTCAAAATGTTGTGTACTCCAGGGGAAACTGACAAATGCAAGAACAGATAAAATGTACCGTTTCTCTATTAAAGAAGGACACGCAACACATCATTCATAGTCAACAACATTTAAAATGATAATGTGTGTTTCGGATGGATTGGAAAAAATAGGCCAGGTCAGGTGGAAGGTGGAACTTCATGAAGCATTTTTGAACTCATTTGCTAGATTGGATTAGTCAATGAAATTTAAGACTCGCCTCTGTTATGCCTGTTATTTTGACCCTTAAACCTGTCTCCTTCACATCCACCACAAGTGTGTTTTCACGCTACTTTTACAGGTGAAGAGCTATGCTTAAGTTGTGCAAACAAGCAGTGAAAGTACTTAAGGCAAGGTGAGGCTGCAGAGAACTACAGGCACAGCTGTGGCTGCTTTTGAGATCTATGGTGGAAACACAGGATTTGTCTTGTTTTGCCTACACTTGACTAATACACACTCGAGGGAAAGCATGCAGCTATGTGAGAATAATAACATGCACACACTCAGAGGCACAGAAGACACGCCTGAGAAAATGCCTGCAGTCTGCCAGAAAACTCTTAAACGTGAAAGAAGTGGTCACGCTTTAACACAGAGGCCAGTGAACAGCCTCACGGATGGCTGTCTTGCTTTTAAGATTCTCTTTAGCTGGTTGGTTGTTTTGCATCTTGAAATAGTGTTGCCTCGTTTTGCAGCCAAGTGGTTCTGTTTTTGCAGCAGATAATTAAAAATTAATGCATTTGACTTCAGCACAGCACCTGATATTTTCCTCTCTGTTTTTTTCCTCAGGTTTGTGGCCTACATCTGAACTTGTTCATCTTAGCCATAAAGGAACCCCTTAAACTGGTGTGACTTAAAACAAGGGCAGATCATCTCACACACCTGCACACCTCCTAAACCAGGTTCCTGCCACCATGTCCTAGATAGCAGTCTATTTCCTGAGCATCTTCCTTAAACCCTAGTCCCTCTTTCCGTCTTCCTTCTCCGTACCATCTCTAATCCCCGATCCCAATGTGGTAATTGCTGGTCACAGCACCAGTGGCGCCCAGTTTGGCGTGATGAGCAGCCTGCACCAGCAGCATCATGGCAGCACAGGCTCAGAGCGAGATCTTCACTCTGCTGGCTCCTCTGTTAGCCTTCCCACAGTTAGAAAGACTCCCAAGAAGCGCCGTCTTTCTCTCCATGCAATCTTTGGGCGCCGACGCCGGCCCGAGCGTGACCCCAAGCGCAAGTCGAGGGCTCTGCAGGCTGAAGTTGGGGTGGATGGTGTCGTCAGCCTCGAAACTGCACAGGCAGAGACTTTGCAGGATAAAACTGCAACCAACTCTCCATTAGATGTAGCATCAACTTCTTCAGTGCCAGGGTCTTCGTCAGAGCTGCTGGAGTGCCCTTTGTGCCTACTGCGCCACGCACGCGATCACTTCCCAGACATCATGACCTGCCACCACCGCTCCTGCGCAGACTGCTTGCGACAGTATCTGCGCATTGAGATCTCAGAGTCACGAGTCAACATCAGCTGCCCCGAGTGCGCTGAGCGCTTCAACCCCCATGACATCAGGATGATCCTGGGAGACCGAGCCCTCATGGACAAGTACGAGGAGTTCATGCTGAGGAGGTGGCTGGTGGCTGAACCTGACTGCCGCTGGTGCCCAGCCCCTGACTGCGGGTAAGAACCACAGCTGAGGGATTAGATGGCCCCCTGAGTGAATAACACACAGGACTAGTTGGTGTGGTTCAAACATGATACACAAGGCAAAAACTTTGGAAATGAAGGCTTTCAGATTTACATTCAAATGTAACTGAAGAGTAGGAAGGAAAGTTGAGATTTGCAGCACCAATTACAACAAAGCACGTGTAAATTTCAGACAGCTTCCAAAATTTTAAGCCTGTGATATTATCCTAAAAAAACCTGCAAATTCATATGGGCCAAAATCTTAGTTTTAATTACCTGAGATGTGCCTGATCTTCTGTAACTTTGATTAAACCAGTGCTCAACTCCTAAAATAACACACTAAGGCAGAAGATCAAGGAAATTTCAAGACTGTAATCTGACCCTGTGAAGTTTACTCCAGCTTCTGCATTGATGTCTCGGCTAAAAATAACTCGTAGCAATAATAGCCGCATTTATTCTGTCAGTCAAAAGCAGCGAGCAGTCAGTTTATGATGATGCCCGCTGTGTTCAGACTGCAAATAGGTTGTAAATGAGCAAATATTCTGTATATAACCAGAAATGAAGGAGCATGTATAACAGTCTGAACAACACATGAACTAATTTATGGTTGTATTTTACTTGTTCTTCACTGGCCTGTGCACTGTATGTCCTCTACTGGCCAATAACATGCCGTTTTAGCTTCTGTACAATTAAGTCCTTCTTTCTCTTGATTGGCTGTACTTGGCTAGCTTGTAACCTTGTGCTTCTAAGCCCCGCCTCCCATCAGTGTAGCTGTGCCTTAAATTACCATATAAGGAAATTCATGATCAGCTGACATCAGACTAGAAGACCCACCACACAGCAAGCATTTTGAGTAGTATAAAGGTTTTTATATACACGGACCAGATTATCTGAAATTATGGCAGTGTTTTAGTATAAACATTCAGCATCATGTGACAGAAAATAAAGGAAAGCATAACACACCCTTCAGTGATAATAATCTTAAAATAAGGCGAAAAGTTATTTAACCTAAAATAACAAGTTATAAGCTGAATGAAAAAAGACAAAACAAAAACCCTATTTCAATTATTAAAGTTGGAAAAAATTTGCAAGTATTGCAAGTTTCTGGTTTGGGGTAAAAACGAGCTCTGCAAACCTCCTGAAAATGTTAATAAACTGCTGTTTCTTGCAGTTGGAAATCTTTCTTTTTCTCTCTCTCATATGTCAGAGGCAGTACTGGGTTAAGGTCAGTTCAGGGTCTTGTATGTTTAGAGCCGGGAGGGACTCAATAGTTTGCTCACAGGGTCCTGAACTGACCTCCATATGTCTCTTGCTTCTCATTGCACCATTAGGCCGTGACTGCCTTCATGCACACAGCATACGTGTACTGCTAATGTACCCTTACAGTGTGTATTTGGTTTTGCTCCAGGTGCTGGCTGCACTGTTTTGTCGTTTTTTGTTTTGTTTTTTTATGTTTTCGCTCCAGTCAGCCATGATCAGTTCAGCTCTGTTGTTCTTGTCTGCTTCAGAAATGGTTTCACCCTTCACTCACTCTCATGACCGTCTTGCATCAACAGTGCTGACCCTTGTCTGCTGGAATAATGGCTCTTTCATGAGTTTGTTGCAACTCGGCTACAAACAGCTCGACTCTGGCTTGCTGCCACACTCCTTGCTGGTTAATGCTCTCAGTCTTTATTGTTGTATAATTGTGCAAATTACTGGGCTCTGTTGGTCAGCTCAACTGTGAAGTTTGTCAAATTTGAGTCCTCATTATTCCTTAAATAAACAAATGAATCATCTTTATGCAGTGAACAGTTTTGCTCAGTTTCGGATGGTGTCCTATTTAGTTACATGCAAGCATAACCAAAACAGTTTTTCTATTTTGGGCAAACTTGGGGTTTCTTTTAAAAGTAGAGCCAAGTATATCACTGTAGGTGTTACACTACCAGTTAAAACTGGTTGAATTATGGTCTGACAGTAAAATGTATGTGAGGAAAACAAGATGGGGATAATACCAAAAGGCCATTTGGCAATATTTTACCACTTTTTACAACGTGCCATCAGTTCACCTCACCGAGGTGTTAGTGGAGACTGTCTGGAAGCTGTGCAGACTGGCTGTTTTGTTTAAGTACATGTTCACATTCAGCCTCTACTGCTGCTTGTCAAATGTGTCAATAAGAGGATAACAGAGTTTATCTGTTAATGCTTACATTCATTTTCATTTCTTTCATCAGAAACTTGGCATGTGATGAATAGTTTTATGTATTTACTCTATTGCTTCTATTTTTTTGTATTTCTTTTTTAACTTCCTCCTTCCTCCACTGACCTTGAAGAAATGTTAGATGTAATTATATAACTTTGCATTTAAGATAACTCTAATCTACCTTTTGTAAGGTTAGCCTTAAGGTTTAGTATGACTAACTTGTCTTCCAAACTTATCATTTTGCTTTGTTCGCTAACTTATAAATCCCATCGGTTCCCACCAAATAGCGTGCCTCTTTAAGTGTACTGACACATCACTGCTGACTTAAATTTCCACTTTGTTTTCAGCTGCAGTTGCTGTTGCTTCCTTGCTGTCAGCTGATGTTAACGGCTATATTAGATTAAATGCTTATCTCATTTTAACAAAGATCTTGACTCACAGCTGTGTACGTCAGGCGGTGCTGCAGCGTCTGTTTACTTAGATTGAGTTTTTTATTTTTTTTCCTGGGAATTCATCCTGAACTGAGTAAGAGGCTCGTCCTCCATGTTCTCCTCACACAATCACATTTAGAAATGTGGAAGATGATCAGGGTTTGAGTGGAGCAACTAAGATTTCCTTACAAGCTACTTGGTGTCACACTGTTTTTGCTTTTCCTCACGTCCCCGTGATAACCATCATGCAGGATCCTGAATGCCTCTGAGTTTAAATGAAGCTGTCATATCTGCTGCGGTATCTAACACAGAAACCATCCCCCATGTCTCACCCCTGGAGGGACACGAGGGGGGCTTTGAGTCAGCAAGCTTGGGGGAAACAGTCACTACCATTCATAATATTCTTGTCACTGAGATAAAAGCAGGTTATTTAAAGCAGCGGTTGTGATGGGATATAAATGACTGCTGCAGCAACGGGCTTTTATGGTGTCACTTTGTCAAGTTTTATGTGCTCATTTATAAAAAGAAACATTCCTGCCACAAAAAAGCCCTCTAATAAGCCACTGTGGTGACTGATGTAGGTTGCTATGGTGATATGCCGTCCTCCAGATTTGATTATACCTGTAGCGGCAAGTCCATTCTGTCTCACCAAATTTTATTTACCATCGTTTCTCTTTTTAGTTATGCAGTCATTGCATTTGGATGTGCCAGCTGCCCAAAGATCACCTGCGGGCGTGAGGGCTGCGGGACAGAGTTCTGCTACCACTGCAAACAGCTGTGGCATCCCAACCAGACGTGCGACACCGCACGGCAGCAAAGGGCCCAACACTTCCGGCTGAGGAGTTTCAGGTCGTCCTCACTCAGCTACAGCCAGGAGAGTGGCGCTGCAGGTAGCCCACAGATAGGTGCTACCATACAAAGCTCCCAGATTAACCTGACCTGTTCTTTGGCATTACACATTAAAGGACACTTGTGATAAATTCACAGTGCACAGAAGCTTTATCATTTTAAGCACAATATTCAGTCTGTGTTTTATTCTGCACCAGGTGATGACATCAAACCATGCCCTCGCTGTGCAGCCTACATCATCAAGATGAACGACGGAAGCTGCAATCACATGACCTGCGCCGTCTGCGGCTGTGAGTTCTGTTGGCTTTGCATGAAAGAGATCTCTGACCTGCACTATTTAAGGTAAGATTTCCACCGCCCTTTGCTTTTCTTATTTTGTAGGTTTCCTTTAATATTTACAGCTTAATATTTACAGCTCTCTTTCTGTCTTAGCCCTGTGAAACTATTTTATCTCTCTCGTCTCCTCCCAGTCCATCGGGCTGCACCTTCTGGGGGAAGAAGCCGTGGAGCAGAAAGAAGAAGATCCTGTGGCAGCTTGGCACATTGGTGGGCGCTCCTGTGGGTATCGCCCTTATTGCTGGCATCGCCATCCCTGCAATGATCATTGGCATTCCTGTCTATGTGGGTAGAAAGGTGAGAGCTCCCAGCAGGCAACAAGGGTACAAAATGTGTTTATTCAGAGAAGTGAGAAGTGGTGAAGATCTTGCAGATTAGTACAGAGAGGTTGCGTTATGTCTGGGGTTTTTTTGTACCAGTTTTGTGTTCCTAGTACAGTATCTTGCATGTAACAAGTTTGTCAAATGTCAGCCTTGAGATGTGGGGACAAAAGGAGGTGTGTGTTTATCATTTGTGGCTTTACTGCAAAGCGTGTGAAGTTAATCCTACTGAACAATTATTCCCATCAGATTCATACTCGCTATGAAGGCAAAGACATCTCCAAACACAAGAGGAACCTGGTGATAGCTGGCGGCGTGACGTTGTCTGTGATCGTGTCTCCTGTGGTTGCCGCGGTCACTGTTGGTAAGGAAAAATGTCTTTCTTGTTTTGTTTTGTTTTGTTTCACCATCTGTGCCTTGATATTGTGCCTTGCTTGTACCAACACACTGAGTTTAAACATGTTTCGCCCACCAGTATTTTCTTAGTTAATCTGCTTACCTTACCTAAGTGTCAGTCATAATAATTTTTGTTTATGTTGTGTTATTTAGGAATTGGCGTTCCCATCATGCTTGCGTACGTCTACGGTGTTGTCCCGATCTCCCTGTGCCGGAGTGGAGGTTGTGGAGTCTCTGCCGGCAATGGGAAAGGAGTGCGAATTGAGTTTGACGATGAAAATGACAACATAGGCAACGGTGCTGCAGCCACAGGTGAGGGTCTTATACTGTACACAGGCTATGGGAAGAACTTAAAGTCACAGTTCAGACAATAATGATCCGTTAATGAATAATTAAAAATGTTGTTTTAAGCACCATGGTGCTCTGCATTTAGCTTTGGTCAATTTTCAGGTTGAATATTTAGCAGGGTTGATAGAAAAGATTGCTGTATGAGTTTGTTCTCACGGTTAGGAATGCATACCAGTCATTACTCTTACATCTGGCCATGCCTTTGTTTTTATGTGCATGCCATTCATTCCTCAAAGGGCTGTTGATGGAAGATGCAGAAAAGTATTCAGGGCGTGTGACTGTGTGAAATGACTGGCACAATATCAGCAATTGTGATGAACTAGGGACTCTGCGTGACGGCGAGACGTGTTGTTTCTCGCAGCTTTTGTCATCAATAAAAGTCATAATTATTAGTACAGACGACAGCGAAGACTTTGACCTTTTCAGCAACATAAGGTGTGAGACGTGATGATGTCCTTTTGATTTCAATGAGAATTTAATGATGTGTTGTTCCAGGATGCATGGTAAAGTCATACCAAGTTCACTCCTGAGTTTATTACTTATGTGTGTCCACTTTGACGTTACTGACCATGCTCCATTTGTATTAGTTTCACTTCTTTGGGCATTTATAGTCACAGGATACAGTAATACTATATCAGAAAGCCACATTGTTGCGTTAGTTTTGTCCATCAAACTATTCTGTAGCCTAATAAAAGCTCACACTGTGTCCCCCTTTTCTCCAATCAGACACAACCTCAGTGGCGGAGACTCGCCTCAACAACGCCAGCCTTGGCGATGGTGCGAGTGTTGGTGGTCTGACGGGTCTGAGCCTCAGTGTGAGCGGAAGCAACATAGAGCGCTGCGGCGTAAGTTCCACCCAGCGGGATAACATGAGCGACAATGCCAGCACCACAGCCCTCGCTGGGACCAGCATCACCGGAAGCCTCTCGGGCAGCTGCTACAACCGGTAAATGGACTGGACTGGACTGATTGTGTAATACGCACGCCTAGATGAGCCCAAACAGAACACTGTCTGAGGGAAAATCCATTAGCTATTCTAAATTGGTCGTACTTATGAATGGGTGTCTGTTGGCCCTGTTGACCCTGTTAATGGACTCCACTTCTCGCTGACAGCTGATGAAAGCTGTGACAGGGTTCAGCTCCCCTTCTCGTGACCCTAAATTGAATATAAGGGGTTAAGAAAACAGACAGATGAAATAAAATTAACCCTTAACTGCCTAAATTTCTTTAACTCCTTTCTTTAACTCAGCAGTGCACTCAAAATAAAAGCTATGAGATGTCATTCTTTACTTTCATTGCTTAAAAGAAAAAAGCATGTTAGTCTCTTTTTTTTTCTTTTTTTTTGTATTATTTTCTCTTCATCGTAGAAATTTTGCACTATGTGAGTGGCAAACGGTGCAGTCGCACAATGTTATCAGTGTCTGTGTAGCTTAGAGCTTTCCAAGCTCCTTAGACCATTTTATCAGTGTTAAATGTTTTATGACTGAAACTACATCGATGGGCTTGTTGTTCACCTGTCAACTGGACTTTCTAGTTGTTTTGACTGTTTTTACTTTTCCAGGATGGAAGTCCAGGCCGACGTCCAGAAGGAACGCTGTAGCCTTAGTGGGGAGTCTGCCACAGTCAGTCTGGGGACGATGAGCGACAACGCAAGCACAAAAGCCATGGCGGGGTCCATCCTCAACGCCTACATGTCTCTGGAAAGGTCAGCACTCAGATTATACACATCCCCCTTGTTCCAGTAGGAATTTGGTGACCTAGATTTGTTAGACTTGTAGGCAGCTGCCATATGATCCAATAAGTTAAATGTAGGTGATTTGATTTTGCAGAGACAACAGTCTGGAGGTGCAGGCAGACGTGGAGTCTAAGCAGGAGAAGGTGAGACACGGAAGCGCCAGCAGCAGCCTGGATGAAGCCAGCTGTAGTAGCAGCTCTGCCGGCCTGAAAGGAGCTACGTGCTCGTGTCCCTCCACCTGTCGCTGTGCTCAGCAAGCCAACCACTCCTGCCCCTGCCCGCCGTGGTCAAAGGACGCCTCCACCTCTGGGGTCAAAACGAGCAAGGGCAAGCGTTGGAAAAAAGCCAGCAGCATCAGCAAAGGAGAGGCAAAAGTTAACGAGATGCAAGCGGACATGGACACTCAGCTTCTGGAGCAGCGCAGCACTAATTCTTCAGAGTTCGATTCTCCGTCCCTGAGCGGCAGCCTTCCCTCTGTGGCCGAGTCGCACTGTAGCCACTTCTCATCTGAGCTCAGCTGCTCAGACCCCGAGACCTCGAGACCGGCTCCTGCACCCTGCTCTCCCCCATTGGACGCCCACCCTCATAATCTCATCACCGCCTTCAGTGACGTCACCATCACGCCCATGCCAGAGGTGGAACACGACCGCCTGGAGCACTTCCCGCCTCAGATAAGCCACTCAGCCTTCACCTGCCGCCTGCTGTCTTCATCTCCACCTGCTTCGCCAAAAGAGGGAAGTAGCGGGACGTTTCTGTACATCAGCGAGGAGAGTGTTGGTGACACAGAGCCAGAGAAGGATGAGAGCTTGAAGGAGACCATTTGCAGCGCTGTGCAGCCTGTAAACCAAACAAGAAAACGCTGTATACAAACGGACATCTAAAGGAGCTCTTCAGGCATGATACTGCACAAACACAGCAAGCTCAGTTAGCCTTATCACCCAGTGCCACTTTTAAACGCAGGCACCGTCCCTACCCTCCATGCATCTTGGGAATCGTGATCAAGATTAAGGCTATAAATGAATTATATATATTTTTTTTTTAGAAATATCTGAATGTCAGGGTTGAGGTTTAAGTCAGAGAGGGAGAGAGAGGGAGAGATTTCAGGAGCAACAAGAACATGACCAGATGTGTGACATCTAAGCGAGATGTTAAAGCACCCAGCGGTGCTTCAAGGCCTATAGTAAGTAGAGTTGCATGTACAGGGAGAGGTGTGTAAAGCAAGTTACATCAGGTGGTGCAGAAGGTCCAGCTTTCATGATGATCTGCAAACTCTTTTCAGTCCTGGTGGGTTTTCCAAATCCCACAAACCAGTTTTGACCCTTTCCCTCCCCAAAAAAGAAAAGAAGCAGAACTGAAAAAGCCGGATAAGAGCAAATAAAATGTCTTGACAAAACTGAGCTGCTATAAAAAAAAAAAATCCACACCAACTTCTCCTTGAGCACATTAGCAAAAAAGAAAAAAAAAAAACGAGCAAAAACCAGAGGGATGTGTCCCCGCTGTGGTCCACCACCAGCTCTTTCTGTGAATTCTTTAAATGGCAGCGAGAAACGCCACAGTCGGAGAGGGGCGTGGAGGCGTCTGCCAAGCATTTACACTTTAGAGGGACCAGCTATTCAGCCGCAGATTTTATGGTCTGCAATCATATATAAGAAAAATATTATCTTTGCTTTTTGTTTAAAATGTGATTCCTGTCATGTGTTTGCTTATTTTATTTTCCATTTTGGGAAAGTTGGTTTTAATGTTGAAGCCCTGTGTTGGGTCCAACTGTTTATTATAAGCGGGTGGGAACTGTGATATCAGAAATACTCAAATACTCATCCCTTCATCTCTCCTTTTTTATTTGTTGTTGTTCTGGTTGCACCTGTGCAGATATAAAAACCTTCACTGCAAGCTTTGAATTGAATTGTGCGGTGTATTTAAGAAAAGGGATTTTTAAGCTGTTCCTTGTAAACAAAACAAAGCAGATCCCAACATTTCAACAAGCATTTCAGACTTGTTTTAAAACTAGAACTACTAGAAGTACCCACGCAGTAAGAACAAGCGTGTCAGGCACACCGCAGCAAGTTGCAGTCAGACGTTTATCCAAGCACATAAATCTTAATCAGTATTCAGTAGCAAATGTACAGTAGTAATGTTAAATTGTCTAATTTTTTCCCCCTCGTATAAATCAAAAAGCTATTTTTTATTCAGAGCTTTGTGTGTATTTTAACTACAACATGTTCTTGTGATGTTTCTGAAGACCTTGCAAATGATTAATGCAGATAATTTTATAATTATTGAACCTACAGTGCCTTTCGGGGGAGGGTGAGGGGTTTTATTGTGTTTTGTTCTTGTTCTCTGTGTGTTTCATCAAATGATAAATGTAAAAAAAAAAAGATAGTTATTATATTTGCCACATAAAATGCACCAAAACTTGATAAACACCATTCCCAGAATGCTAATGCAGACTGTCGCAGTAGCTGGTGTTGACTACCAAAGAGCCGCTCTTAGGCCGCTGCAGTGGACACGTCAACAGTGACAGAATCATTTTTTTAAAAAATCTACTTTAGTGCGTAGAAATTGAAAATCAGAGCAATAAAATATTGGATTAAACCCAGTACTCACAACCAAAATGTTTATCTGAATTTAAATCGTTGTTAGGATTTGTTTTTAATATTCCCCTGAAGTAGCCAAAGTTTTTAAAGTTGATGTCATGCACAAGTTGGCAATAAGATCCCTTTAATCCAAAGTAGTCGGCATCATGAGTATCGTGAGCACAGTGACACTACAGGCTACGTCTAGCTTTCAGCAGCTGGAGCACATTTTCAGCCCGACCACAGATTGCTCCTCTGTGACGTCAGGCAGCTCGTGGTGAGCTGGCTATCTGCTAAAAATAAATAAATAAAAAGTTTTGGTAAACCTCACAAGCCTCCAGCTGCAGGTTATTCCCTCCGTTTTGTAACCTACCTGCTGCTGAAAATGATACAACTTCAGAGTCAAATAGATCCTCCGAGGTTTTATTATTTGGAGACGAGTGGCAGGTGTGTTTTCTAATTGGGTCAGATAAGCTTATGATATTTTAAAAAGTATGTATTACCTAATTATTTGCTTTATAATGTGCATGCAAATGCATATCGTTTAATAAACTTCACAATCAAGCTTGCTGTGATCGTTTTGTGTTCATTTATTCGTGTTTCCATTTGAAAAAACACAAAGGCACATTAATGCATTCTTGTAGCAGTTTATTTACATTTGCATTCAGTCTATTTACATACAGTACATGCTTTTACATTCATGAATGAAGCTTTACATCAAGATTTTTTTTTAAGATAAGCCTTTTATTTTTACAACACAAAGGAAAACAAGACTGGAAAAAACTAACCTAATATTTTTATACTTGCAAAATAAACTGTGGCACAGTTTGCTACATTTTAAAGAAATACAAAGCGGATGTGGGTGATTTCAAAAGCTTCTGCTCCTGTGGAGAGTTGACAGAGGTGATAAATTATGTTTGCAAAGCTTGGTAAGCATCTAATTTGTCCTTTTCAAACGTGTGTAAAAGTACATTTCAGCCTGCACACACCGCAGGCTGAAATGTGAGAGAATGACAAGCCTGAGGGTGGAAGCTGAAAAATGACTTTCCATGGAAGCCTTTTCTGCCAAAGAAAATTTACGGTACATTAGTCAAAATTTTGGTTTAAGTCTTATTAACTCAATTAATTACTTGAAACTGAGGAGGGGGGGGG